CTATAAACATAGGGTCAGTGAAGTGCTGCCCAACTATTTTTTATTCATTTTTGTTTGTTCAAAAATATATGAAAATGCAAACCATACATACATGAACACACCTATTTTTATGAGCCAACGGATGTGTATAAAGCAATAAAGCATCATTCATTGTGATATTAGGACAGTTCTATTAAAAGAATGTAGAGTCGAGTCAAATTTAAACATTGAAAGTAGTAAAAAGTAGTGTTTTATAAAACCACATGAAATGAATACAAAGAGTAAATTCCTAAAAACGCAGCTTGCGTTTTAAACTAGATTTTCAAAAGATGTTTCTTTTCCTTTATTGTTGACAGTCTTATTTGTCACTGGCCCACTGACATTTGGAAGAATATCTCATTGCCCATCAGCTTTGATGATAAGTTATGGTTCCTCCAGGATGATGAAGCCATTCTCACTCCATCCATTAGAAAAAGGGAGATATGAATTTAAAAATAGAGGTTAGATTGTTGTGCTGTCCCACTGAGTCTGGCATTGCTCTGTAATCTCTTTAATCCTTCTTTATGAGTTTCGTATGAAAGCACTACCTCCTTCGCTCAGCATGAAATCATCATACAAAACCGATTCCTCGCACCTTGTCATCTCTCCTCTTGATGGTTATGGGTCTCCGACTGCAAATGCTGAATCCAAAACAAGCTAATCTTCCAGCGATCCCTCCCTCTCTGCCTTCCCACCCAGCAGAGCACTTCATTTAGCTTGATATTCCATTGCGGCTTATCCAATGTCAATAGTTACATCAGGGCAATAACTAGATGACATAGAGAGAAGCTGAAGGGAGAGAATAAGAGAGTGAACAAGTGAGTGTGTGTGTGTGTGTGTGTGTGTGTGTGTGTGTGTGTGTGTGTGTGTGTGTGTGTGTGTGAATAAAAAGCCGCACCATGCTCTCCCTAGTTGTAATGCCTTTAAGTAATTTATGCCCTCGTTCGGTGGCGGAGAAGAGGTTCATGGGATTACTTGGGAGACTGCAGTGGATTAACACTGAAGAAAGTCTGAGGGGATGCAGACAAACACCTGGCCCTCACATACATCTCTTCAAATAAAAAATAAAAAACCAACAACCCAGAAGCACTCATTGCCATGGAGATGCTTGTAAAAACCTGAAGATGTTTCACTAAGTCTCTCAGTGGAACTGTTGAGGATTCGTCTTCATTACAAGTCCTCACATTGACTTAACCAAAGACTACTTGTGTGAGGTACTTGGGAAAAAATTAAATGATGGAAAAGTCTCTTGATTTAGATAAAAATACCCAAGAAACACTTGACACAAGGAAAAGTAAAGTTTCTTAAAGAATAGCTCACCCAAAAAAGAATATTCTGTCATCCTTTACTCACTCTCGAGATGTTTTAAACCTGAATGAGTATCTTTCTTCTGTTGAACATAAAAGTTATTTTGAAGAATGTGGGTATAGTTTCTGGTCCCAAGTGACTTAGCAAGTCATATCTAAGTCAATGGGGACCAGTTTGGTTACCCACATTCTTCAAAATATATATGTTGTGTGTTCAGCACAAAAAAGAAAATAATACAGGTTTGGGACAACATAAAAGTGAGTAAATATGAAATAATTATTATTTTTGGTTGATCTATCCCTTTAATGACAAGCGGCAGCATGTTGAGTACTATTAGACTGCTGTCACTTTAAGACCTGCACACATCTAATATACAGGCATGCATCTGTTTTTGTCTCAACTGTTTACTTTCACTTTAGACATAAGCAACTGTGTTTATATGTAAACCTTCTGTATTTTTGACAGTATTAGTGCAATCAGACAAAAAAGATAACTTGTTTGACAGGCTTTTTAGGGTGCGCGCACTTCAGGTGTACGCGCTCAGAAAAAAACACATGTCAGAAGCATGTGTTTTAAAGCTGGCAAAGCTTTAAAGCACATGCAAATAATGTACTTTTGTGATTGCGAATAAGTGCAGTGTTCCGTGTGTTTAACTCTACAGCTGAGTTAACATTTGATGTAAATGTGTATGTTGCGTTGTTCAGTATATTGAGAGAGAGGCACCAGAACTGCAATCAATAGAATGTGCGCTGTAGCACGATACTATGATATTTCTTTAAAAGCAGATCGTGGAGACATTTTAATCATCGACGATCAAAAATCATGATATTGCACACCCCTGTAATGGATGATGAAATTATTAAAGCACTAGCAGATTTTTTTTTCACTTGTTTTAAGAATAAATAAACAAGTGAAATCTGTCTGTGCAGTTAGACAAAATAAACTTATATTCTGTACATAAATTATGAAAACAATTAGGTTTATTTTTAGACATTTTAACTGAAAAATAACTAGAAATACTTAAGAAATCAATATTTGCAGTGCATAGTGTCACTTTTCAAAAAAACAAGCTTTAGTGGGTTAGCATGACAAAGCACTGCAATACACAATGTCAATTCAACTCCACAACAGCGCTTCTGTTGACTAGGAAAAGTATAATCAAATGTACATTAATAGAGAAGAGTCAAGTGTATCAAATCTACTCTCTAATAATGCCATCACTCTCAAGTAAGGTTGAAACGTCTGATTCATTTATATCTGTGTCATCATTTTAGTGGCTTGGGTCAAAACATGATTTGTCTTTTCATTTGAATCATCACACAAAAGTAAAACTCCCAGAAAAATATTGCATTGCATGTTTATTTATCTAGAGGATTAAGTATTGGGTTAAAACATTTTTGCTAGTTTTATTAATTTTATTTTGAGTAAATGTACATGCCCCAGTGGTACAATTACCCAAAATGAGATACATATTTTGTTTGCAAAGGAAAAAATTACTGTTCTTTCAACAAGTGCAATTGGATAAGAACATTAACATTAAGAAGCATTGCCCCTTCACCATTACCTATTTTTGTTAGTAGATTGTGTCTTTAATGTGGCTTAAAGAGATAGTTTCACCCAAAATAAAAATTATTTAATTTACTCACCCTTCTGTCATTTCAAATCCATATGACTTACTTTCTTCTATGGAACACAAAATAAAACATTTTGAAGGATGTTTCAACTATTTTTGTAAGTATAATGAAAGTCAGTGGGTTCCAAAACAACACTGGACCCTATTGACTTTCATTGTATGAACAAATAAACAAAGATATATTAAATAAAAAAAATATTTTCTGTTCCACAGAAGATAAACAGTTAAAAATAAATGACAGTATTTTCATTTCAGTATTTTCTGCCCTCTTAACTACTGTTGAGTAGCTTGCAGCTTGTTAAACCACATTTATTAGATCAGCTTTCTGAACAGTGTAAATAATGGAGACCTTTTGGGGGAAATTACAGAATTGATTTTGATTGAGTGCATTGATGGGACTGCATAAAGGAGAAAAAATTGTCAAAAGTAATTAACAGCATTGTTGTCGGTCTGTATGAATGTGAATGTAAACTGTCAGCACTCACTCCTACTTTTGCAGTCTGAGTGCCTTCATGTGGCAGGTGTTGCAGTCAAACAAATGTGTACGCGTTTCCACACGTGTCACATCCTGTCATTGACAGGCGCGGAACCGCTCCACCAACCCGAGCCGTCTGGCTTTTTACACTGATTTCATTTGTCACGGTCTAATTCACTATTGACACAAAACATACAGCTCTCATTAGATCCTTTATGAACATTTTCACTGCTAAAGTGGGAAGTCAAAAACACATGGCAGTTGGTTCAATCATTCTAATGGGAAAAGATCATATAAAGTTGCATGGCTTTCAGGTTGAATAAGATATAAAAGAATGGAAGTGTAATAAAATTGCTTTTTCTAGTGCTTTTGCTTTGTTGAAATAAAGCTTGCTATTTTTCCCCTCAAAGAGTCTAAGTGTCTCTATTGCGGAGGAGTAAAGAATTTGAGACAGACGATCCTATAGCTCTTGGCATACTCATAGATCGATTACAAAACTATATGGGTATTCAAGGGCAGGCTTTAAGATGGTTTAGACCCTACCTGTCTGATCGCTACTACTTTGTTTACTTAAATGGGGAGTCATCTCAATTATCACCAGTAAAGTATGGAGTGCCACAAGGATCTGTCCTAGGTCCTCTGCTATTTTCAATATATATGTTGCCCCTTGGTAATATTATTAGACAATACGGGATTAGTTTCCACTGTTATGCTGATGATACTCAACTATATATCTCAACAAGACCAGATGAAACTTCTAAATTATCTAAGCTAACAGAGTGTGTTAAAAATGTAAAAGATTGAATGACCAATAATT